TATTTATTTTAAAAAATAATAAATAATTTAAAATAAATTTAAAATTAAATAACAAATAATTATTTTTAGTTTTTTACATCGACGAAGTAGTGTTCGTTGAGTAAACGTGGCTCTGCCACTTCCTTTTTGTTTTATTTTGGGCCGAAAACGGCACCGGCACTTCCTAAATTCCCGAATGTTAGCCCCCTGAATTAAATTATTTTTCTTAATTTAAATCACAAACTTATTTTTTTGGGAAATTGACTCCAATGCACGCTTTATGCTCGGTTAACACCTAATAAGAAAAGTTAAGTGATAAATTTGTAGGTTGAATTTGACAAAACTATGCGATGCTGTTTTATAGTTATAATTGTTAAAAGTGTTGTCCTATATTGTTATAAAAAGTATTTTAATATTTAGTAATTATATTTTAAAAAATTATCTATTATAAAATTACTTAATTAGATATATTATTATTTAAAATCAAATTAATTAATAATTTAATATATAATATATAAAAAAATTCGAGAATTCTATTAAATTATTTAAGAATTTTATTAATTTTGAATAAGATGACTTTTATATTCTTTTCTAAAAAAGTAAAAGTGAATAATTTACTAAACACATAAGTTACAAAAAATTTTATACATATATGTAAAAAGTACTGTAAGCAGCATTATCATAAGAAGCTGTAATCTTATATTCACAAATTATCATTGTAAGAAAAAAAAAATTCTTGGGGGCAAAAATTAAAAAAAAAAAGTTTTAAAAACCTAACTATAGCGGCTAATTATTTTTGTTGATGATATGATTTCAGTTATGGTCCTATCTAAATTAGAGAAAAATTAATATCTAGCTGCAAACAATCTAATCCAAGAATATCCAAATTACTGGAAAAAAAAAAAAAAGACTGGACTTTTTTTTAAGGTTAAACCTCAATTTGGTCCCTCAATTATTATATGGACTTTTGATTTGATCTCTAAACTAAAAAAATCCTTAATTTAATCCTTCAACTACGAACCCTTGATTTGGTCCTTATTGTTTATCAATTTAGCTCGAAGTTGATCTTTTCATTAAAAAATAACTAATGTGTTCGTTATTTAACGATTAAAAACTATTACTTAACTGTCATATATCACATTAATAATGAAATATATCATCTGCTCTTCTATGAAAGGACCAATTTGAAATCAAATTGGTAAACAATAGGGACCAAATCAAAAAATTTTTTAAATTAAAACCAAATTAAGGTCCATATAATAGTTGAGAGATCAAATTAAAAATTTAATCTTTTTTTGTTTATCTAAAAATCATATTAGATTTTAAACTAATTTAAAGTTATATCGTGTCGAATTTCTCTTATCACCTATTTTTTTTATTTGAAAATCTCAAATTTAAAATTTTATTTTAAAAAAACTACGTTTTTTGTACGTAAACTAATACATTATTAGTGACTTCAAATTGTTCAGCCAAAAGCGAACCGAGCTTTGTGGCTCAATGGTTCGCTCCCAAGCCTAAGTATTTGGGTAAAATGGTGGTCGAAACTTCGAATTCCACCACCGTCGTGAACTTCACCAAACTGCGATTTGATGGCTGCGTGCCTCATTTGAGGGGGTAGAATGTTCACCTGATCTAAGAACTAACTGTTAACAATTAACTTACTAACTTTTTAATCATTATATTTGTTTAAAAAAAAAAAAAGTTTGGCCAAAAGACAAGAGGAATGATGCACTTTCAAAAAAAAAAAAAAGCACTCGCAAGCAGATGGAAGCTTCCCCCAATTACCGAAAAAAGGAAAAAAAAAATCAATACGTCGTAACAACTTTTTAATTACCATTAATGAATTGGTTGGCGGAAGACAGTTGGCTTAACCAGGGAATTAATTAACGCGGTTTGGGCCGGGAAGTCAACTGTTATTCTGACACGTGGTATAATTTCATTGGTTTTACAATTTATCTGATGTGATCCTGAAAGTACTTGGATTCGTTGTCCTTTCCATTTCGTCGTAATGCTAATGTGATGCTAACTATATTTTTTTGACCCGGTAAATGGTTAGAAAGTTAGTAGAGTTAGTTTATTAGTAGCTGGAATTTTTTCAGGAAAGTGAACGTTCCAACCCTCATTTGAGACGTGTGACCATTAGGTCGCAAGTTGGTGAAGTTCACGGCAGTAATAGAACTTGAAACCCTGACTTCCGTCTCACCCAAACCCTAAAACTTAGAAGCCAATCAATTGGGCACGGGCCCGGTTGGCGTGATGCTAACTATATTGAAGTTCATTTTCCAATATATATATATATATGTTGAACTCTTCATAATAAAACACACACATAGTACATTTTTGGTGAAATATATATGTTAAAGTCTATGTACCAAATATATACGCTTCATAATAAAAAATACACACATACATAGTACATTTTTGGTGAAATATATATGTTAAAGTCTATGTACCAAATATATACGCTTCATAATAAAAAATACACACATACATGGTACATTTTTGGTGAAATATATATGTTAAAGTCTATGTACCATATATATATATTAAAGGATAAGTCCGTACTAATCTAAGGGCATGGATCTGGATTTGGGTCATTAACTTTTTGTGGGTGGTGTGGTAGAGTCCACGGATCCTTTATCCCTTTCTCTCATTTAATATATATAAATAATTTTAATTTTTTCAAAAAAATATATATTAAAGGTTTATTAATATATAAATTTTATCTATTAGATTTACATTAAATTTTGGTTTTTTATTTTTTTATTTTTAATAATTAAGATTTATCATAATTTTTAAATAAAAAATTATTATTTTTAATAAATATAATAAATAATAAATAAATTTTAATTATTAAAAATAAAAAATAAAAAATCAAACTTTTATATAAATATGATATATAAAATTTATATGTAAATAAATCATAATTTATATGTATTGAAGTCTTAGATAAATAAAATAATCAACAATTATTTTTTAAAAACAAAAATAAAAATTAGTACATCTTGATATTAAAGTATTATGTTATCTAATAATAATCCCATAATATGTAAGACATGATATGAGTCATAATTTTATTAAATACATTATGTAACTATTATTAAATGTCTTAACATTTTTAATTTCAGAATATGTTTATTTTCCTTTTTCTCTTTTTTAAATCCAACGGCTGAAAATGCAATAGATCTTAAACTGTTGATTTCTTTTTTTTGAATAAATTACAATTTTGTGGGGTCGGTCGGTTTGAACCCAGATCTTGGACCTGGTAAGTAAACCGACGAGGGACGCTGGAATTGTTGAATTTAAACACAGAAAAGTGCATTTCAGGGTGGATATGTATGAAAAGAAAAAAAGGGGTAAGAATACGGCAGAAGGTGCAATTCAGCCCCTCTACGTCCATTGTTGTGGCACATCAGCCCCTCTACCTAAAAGTAGAGCAAATCAGCCCCTCCACTTGACAAAACCCGCAAATCAGCCCTTCTGCTGACGATGACCTCATCAAATGTCATCTTTCCGTCCACATCCTTGTTACTCTATTACCAGTGCTGATATGGCATTAGGTGGGTGATGTGGGCAATTTAAATTGTAAAATTACTAAAGAGTCCTCATCTACTTCCTTTTCTTCCATTCATCTTCTCTCTCCTCTTTTACAGTCTCTCTCTTCATATTGCAGATTTACTTCTTTTTTTTAATAGTTTAAATTAAAATTTTCTTTAGATAAATCTAAACTTAAAAAAATTATTTAAAAAATCCTCAAAATATGAAATATAAAAGTTAAAAAAAAATGCAAAATTAAAATAAAAACTTGTGGCTTTGTTGACACCAAGTAATTTGCTCATTAAGTCTCCATTTCCAATAACCCAAAATCTACCTTACTTTATTGTAAATAAAAATATATGTAATATTTATTTATTTTAAAAACTATCTCAAAAATAGATTTATATATTTTTAATAAAAATACAAACTTAAAA